TAATATAAATTCCTTCTACTTCCAGGCAGATTTCTGTGCTGGCGTCTTGAGTTGATATATTGGTTTGGCACTCTTTATCACATTGAATTTCATTTCTAGTTGGTGTAGGGAGATCCTGAGCCTTGTGAAAATCAAATGAAAATTATCAGATGAGAAATTATCCCATTTAAGTTAATAAAATCACCTCAAGTGGACCCATTAAATCAACATAGCAATTTTATATTCCATAGTTACTTGGTATTTTACAGCATTGTCAGCATTAAACGCATGCCCTTCAACTATTGGGTCATTTTCGATGTTGACATCAGTCTTAACTTGCTGCGTAGTCTCTGGCACGATATATTGTGATTCTGGTAATATTTCTGGAGTGTCAACATTTTCCACTGGACCAAAATCTCGCTCTGGGTCATTGGGAACGGTATTAGTCAATTTTGGATTCACTCGTCGCATAGTAATCTGGATGAACAATGAAAAATGATATTAGTGAGAGAGGGAAAAATGAGGATTGAACAATAGTACACAGCATAGTCATAATTACCTTGGATTCTGTGCATTGAATGGGGTCAGGATGCTCTTCCGATGGACCATTACCTCCCACAAAGTCCTTACTGTATATATACGTGTGATTTGCTATTCTTTCTAATGTAAAATTGGATCGATTGCACGCTTGCAACCATCGTTTACTTTTCTCCACATCTACATATGGCTTTTTTCTGTAATTTTTTTTTGTAAAAAATCTGAAAAATAAGAGATGGAGGAACACCCTTAGATTCCTCTCAATACTTGGTGAAAATTTCAATTTTCAAATTTCAATTTTCAAAGTTTGTTTTTTTCATCCCATTTTTCTCCGATTTTATCTAATATAAATGGTTGAAATTTTGACCAAGTATTGAGGGCAGCCTGAGGGAGGGCGTCTATCTATTATTTTTCTGATTTTTTGCAAAAAAAAATTGCAGAAAAGTTAACGACATGGCTCACGTTACCGTTTTTACAGGGAACTGTAAAATGAGAAGCGACAAAAACGTTTTTTTAGAGACTTATTGTTGTCTATCGCCATTTTCAGGAGATGAGTTGCCCTCAAGGATACTCTAATACACTTATTTTGAGGAGAAAAACGTTTACCCATGCCATCATTTTTGCTAATAATGGGTTGAAGTCTTTGGTGGAATTTCAAGGGATAACCAATCCTATACAGGCTAGTAATTACAGTAGAGAATACTTTTTCTAATCAGCAGATAACGCGTAAAGCGTTGGAAATTTTTGTCAAACAGGTTATGGAGGGTGTATGTGGCTATCAGCAGTGTTATAAGCATGGCAGAATGTTTCCATACCATTATTATTTATTTATATCCATTTATTTATATTTTATGGGATTTTGTATTTTTCACGTACAAAATCCAAAAAACTCCGGGAACTTGCAATACCGATAGGGAGGACCCCTAAGGGTTACCCCTTAAGGGGTAACGGAACCGACCACAAAAAGACGTTTACCAAAAACAAGTTTTCTTGGATTCTATGCAATGAGAATCAATCAAACTTCTTCCCCGTATTGAGAGTAGCGGAACGCATCGCTCTCTTCTCATGCTTTTCTTATTTATGCAAAAAAAATTGCAAATTATTTAACGGCAAGGACCAGGGCAAGGCCGACGCCATTTTATTTGTAGGAATCTGCTAAGTCATGGTAGAAAAACCGATTTTTTGTAGATTTTTCTTAGCCGATGGCTTCTTTCATGAGAAGAGAGCGATCGAGTGAGGTCCAAGACAGAGATTTTGAGTACAAAAACGTACTTTTGTGGCGTAATTTTTGTAAAAACTTGTTTATGATGATGGAGTGGTATCCAGGAGGTAACATGTCCTTTACAGGGCACCAATTGTAAGAGGGAAGTATTTTTACGAGTCAGAAGATGATGTAGAATGCNTTTTTTTTTGTAAAAAATCTGAAAAATAAGAGATGGAGGAACACCCTTAGATTCCTCTCAATACTTGGTGAAAATTTCAATTTTCAAATTTCAATTTTCAAAGTTTGTTTTTTTCATCCCATTTTTCTCCGATTTTATCTAATATAAATGGTTGAAATTTTGACCAAGTATTGAGGGCAGCCTGAGGGAGGGCGTCTATCTATTATTTTTCTGATTTTTTGCAAAAAAAAATTGCAGAAAAGTTAACGACATGGCTCACGTTACCGTTTTTACAGGGAACTGTAAAATGAGAAGCGACAAAAACGTTTTTTTAGAGACTTATTGTTGTCTATCGCCATTTTCAGGAGATGAGTTGCCCTCAAGGATACTCTAATACACTTATTTTGAGGAGAAAAACGTTTACCCATGCCATCATTTTTGCTAATAATGGGTTGAAGTCTTTGGTGGAATTTCAAGGGATAACCAATCCTATACAGGCTAGTAATTACAGTAGAGAATACTTTTTCTAATCAGCAGATAACGCGTAAAGCGTTGGAAATTTTTGTCAAACAGGTTATGGAGGGTGTATGTGGCTATCAGCAGTGTTATAAGCATGGCAGAATGTTTCCATACCATTATTATTTATTTATATCCATTTATTTATATTTTATGGGATTTTGTATTTTTCACGTACAAAATCCAAAAAACTCCGGGAACTTGCAATACCGATAGGGAGGACCCCTAAGGGTTACCCCTTAAGGGGTAACGGAACCGACCACAAAAAGACGTTTACCAAAAACAAGTTTTCTTGGATTCTATGCAATGAGAATCAATCAAACTTCTTCCCCGTATTGAGAGTAGCGGAACGCATCGCTCTCTTCTCATGCTTTTCTTATTTATGCAAAAAAAATTGCAAATTATTTAACGGCAAGGACCAGGGCAAGGCCGACGCCATTTTATTTGTAGGAATCTGCTAAGTCATGGTAGAAAAACCGATTTTTTGTAGATTTTTCTTAGCCGATGGCTTCTTTCATGAGAAGAGAGCGATCGAGTGAGGTCCAAGACAGAGATTTTGAGTACAAAAACGTACTTTTGTGGCGTAATTTTTGTAAAAACTTGTTTATGATGATGGAGTGGTATCCAGGAGGTAACATGTCCTTTACAGGGCACCAATTGTAAGAGGGAAGTATTTTTACGAGTCAGAAGATGATGTAGAATGCTTCCATACCATTATTATTTATTTATATCCATTTATTTATATTTTATGGGCTTTTGTACTTTTCAAGTACAAAATCCAAAAAACCACGGGAACCTGCTATACCGATAGGGGAGACCCCTAACCTCTGCATGCGACGGGTTCCGTTACCCCTTAAGGGCATACACTACAGTAGACTCCCGTTACAGTCGCGCGCCTGGGAGTGTAGCCGATTCGACGAAAGTGACTATATTTCCTTATAGAGTTGCGGGACACCACTAAAAAAGCGCTTCTAAATTGGCTGACTGACTACTCGTATTCTAATGCATAATGCTTTTTTTGAACACTGAAATATGATGTCGAAGCATCAAATAATCGATTTCCCATCAATTTTAGGCATAGCAACTATTGAGCACTATGGCGGGTTAATTTGAAACTTATTTAGTAGGTTTTCTAATCAGTATGAAACATATGAGGTTCATCAAAAACGCAGAGAGACATTAGTGTGAAAACCAGAAAAAGAACCAGCGTCATGGTCACGGATTGTTCTATACGAGAATTTTCATTAACAATTAGAAGAAAAAATGATCTGACCAACCTTTTTTTTTGAATTGATAATACACTTCAATAAATACTCAATGAATAATACACTTTTACTAAAATTTAAGTTAACTGCATTTCTTTCTCAATGACTGTATTTAGTCACAGCAACTTTACGTCTAACATTCCCACAGAAATGACATTCGTCTTGGTGTTAAGAAACCTTATCAGTGAATTCACCACCGTGCTCTTTGCCTCGTTCCTTTTCAATTTCAAATGGATATACAATATTTTATCAAGTTCGCCGTAAAATACAAATAAATCTGTCCTCGTTACGGTCGGGTGTGAATTGAATTCATTTTTCAAAAATTTACTGTCAGGTTATTTCACATTTAAGGTCTTGTGGAAATACGAAACAATAGGGCATTTAAGAAAACATCTGTAGCCCAACGAAAAATTCTTTTCTCGCAGAACTTAGTTTCAGGTAATGAGTTTCCATGGTTTCTATTGTCAAATTGTTAATTTGTCAGTGAAACCAAAGGAAAAGCATTTTTTCCAAAAGGAAAATAAATTTTGGTCCGACTATATGTGTTTACATTCGGGAGTCGACAGTAGCAGGGAATGGAAAACCATTACGCTGGCGAAATAGCGATCGAAGGGAAACGCAACTCTAACGGGAGCGACTATTATGGGAGTCTATTGTATTGAGTGTTGAATGTCCTGCAATTACAAAGTCGTCTTCACTTGAAAAAATATTTATTGAGCCGTATAAGACCATCAAACATGGTGGAATTTTTTGAAAAATTCACGGACCGATTTATCATTTTGAAGGGTTCCAATGTAATTACCGACGATTGGATCGAAATTTTATACAATATTCAGAATAGTAGAACAAACAAAATTGAAGAATGGAATTTTCGATAGGATGATTTTTAGATTTTAAATCACCCACAAATCTGAAAAATCACAAAAATCGAAAGAATGGAATTAGCAAATTTATTTCTGGGAGCAGTTTTACCTTGCGATGTACAATCTTCTGAGTTTTGTTCGTTTTAGTGTTTTGAATTTGTATAAAAATTGGGACTCATTCTGATGATCGGTAATTACATTGGGATCTGTCAGAGTGAAACGTCGGTTTTTCAGGTTTGCAAAAATGTCTGCGATATTCGATGGTTCTATAGATATATTTTTTCAAGTGATTAACACATGAGAGAAAAGCGTCAGAGAAGTCGTTTTGTTATTACAGATTTTTTTAAATTCAGTAGTTTATCCCCTTAATTGATTGAACAATACCCATGAAAATCGATATTTATCAAATCTGTTCGGAAGGTAAATTGGCTTATTCTGTTTACCTCTTGAATGTTTAGATATTCCGACATGGAGCGAGAAATCCTACAGAAACATATCCAAAAGATCCTTATGCTAATCACCAATGGGAGGATGGTTGGGGAGCCTTAACAAAGGTAATTCGCAAAACTTCTTTCGAACTCCTTTGCGATAAATTTATTCCGACGCGAATAATTAGATCTCGAATATTTAGAAGTTTACAAAATAAATTATCTTTTGAAAATGATTAATTACTTCCACTCAGAAGGAGTAAATTTTCCTCTTCGTTCACCAAAATCGATGATCACAGAGGGTCAGGATACGATGAATTCACAACAGGTTATTTCTTGGAAAATCGTAGGTCTCATGAAAAATGTCGTAAAAACTGTTTTGCGTAACTTCAAAATCCCTAAAATAGATAACTTCAATACAAGTACCTCTGTCGAAAATACAGAGTAAGGAATTGGGTGCAGAATATTCACGTTTTAAATGAAAATTCAAGCAACTTTTTATTTTCATACTGTTAAGAAATGTTGAATTCCATTAAATTTTCAGTGAATTTTTAAATTTCATGACTCTCCTCTTTCAAATGAAATTAAATGTTTTGCTCCTGAAAATTACCACTGAACTATCCATGAATTTCAATTTTTTTCAACAGTATAATTGCTAGGAAAAAATGAAGTCGACTTTCTGAAATACACTAATGAAATGATTGGAAAATCACAATTTTCGAAGACCACAACCGTTTTTTATATAAATAATCCAATAGCAATCAATGTTTCACTCAGAGAATAATTTTTTTCGTGTAACGGGACCTGAAAAACCCCATCCTCGCCTTCGACTCGGAAGGCAATCTTGCACGTGGAGGACCAAAGAGGATTGACTAAAGTAGAGGCTCAGATCTCGGGGTTGAAGTGACCCCAAGCCAAAAATAGTTCGACCCCAACGAAGGGATAGTGGTCGAATCTGACGGCTGGGCGAACTGCCTGTGCGGGTAATTCGGCAGTAGCAGTCCCGCCAGCGTTGCCATCGCTCCTGCTTTATCGGTAGATCTACCGCTTTTCGACTAAATCTCCCGCCCTACCGCTTTCATACAGTAATCTCCCGCTTTTTGCTAAATTTCAATTTCCATGTAAATTTATTCTTCTCTTGTAAAAAAATTTTTGTTTGCCAATTTTTTTTTCACATTTGTCCAATTTTTCGCGCGCCTCAGTGCAGAGTGGCGACACTTCTGATCACCGCCGCGAGTTCAATATATCCTCGTCACAAGTGTACAGCCATCTCTATTAATCTAATCGACAACTCAACTACTCCGATTCAAAACTCACTTTAGTATTATGTTTCCCCTGATTCTTTGTTGTTCATTCCTCTTTGCAATAATAAACGATATATAAAAAAGCACATCATTACCCCCCACTTTATCGTTTCTTCGCAGGTATGTAATATTCAAGAGAATTGATCATAATTACAACAAAAAACACAATATTTTCGACTATCGTCAGTGTAAACAAAGAGGTGCTGGATGTCAATCGTCACTCTCTTTTTTTTTTTACCTATTTTAGTTCTGGTGGATGATTCAGTGGATAAGAATAACGAGAATGACTCTGGAAGCCCAGTCAGGAAGAAACAGAAGACAAAATTGTCTTCACATTATAGTCCAATAACAGTCAATGTGAAATATGATCAAAAGTATCTTCAGACATGGGGAAACAGTTTGTATAAAAATTGGATTTCAAGTAGTCAAAAAAGCCAGAATCATGCTTATTGTGAAGCTTGTGGGGATGACATCAGCATCAAGTCAGGAAAAGTGGCACTGGATCGTCATCTCGACAGAAAGAAATATAAAACTAACGCCAATCCTCTACAGAAACAGCAAAATTGCCTTCTTTACCGTCTTTCAGTGATACCTCCCAAGTTAATGACCAACGTGAAAAATGGAGGAATACGTGTGGCGGCATACCTTGCTGAACACGATGCACCATTTTGATCAGCAAATCATTTACCACCTCTCATAAAATCTACATGTCCTGACTCAGAAGTAGCTAAAAAAAGTCGTGTGGTAGAACGAAAGTTACAGCAATTGTGAAAAATGTTCTAGGGAGGGAAGCTGAATTAATTTTGGTCAACGAAATGAAGAGAAAATCATTTAGTATCATAATCGATGAGTCCAAAGACATATTGGACATTGAGCATCTCGTCGTAATCGTCAGAATCGCTTCTGATGATTCCACGAAGATCAGAATTTTGCCCTTCTTCCAGTGACTGATGCATCCGCAACTGGATTATTCACACTCATTTAGTAAGGAATTTGATCGACATGAAATCTCCTGGAAAACCAATATGATCGGTTTCGGTGCGGATGGTGCTAACACAATGATGGGGAAGCATCATTCCGTATGCTTTATTTAAAAAGGTAATTCCACACCTGTTTATAATGAAGTCTATTTGCCGCAGTTTCGCAATGTGTGCATCTACTGCATCTTTGAGCCTTCCCCGAACTCCAGAAAACTTGCTGCACAACATTTACAATTATTTGAGTAACTCACCCAAGCGACAAAATCTCTTGAAAGAGTTTCAGGAGTTTCTTGAGTTGGAGCCTCATAAAATGTTATATCCTGCGCAAACACCATGGCTGTCACTGCATCAGGTGGTGACTCGTGTTATTCAACATTGGGCAGCTCTGGAATTGTTTTGCATTGATGCAGTGACTAATGAGAAGAATTCGAAGGTGTCGGAACAAGTTCTAACTGATATAACCAATCCGATCAACAAAATGTACCTGGAGTTTCTAGAATTTGTTCTCCCCTTCTTCAATAATTTGAATCTTCTGATGTAGTCTGAGGAACCCCAAATTTGTAATCTATACGGAGAGGTTGAACAAACAGTCAAGACTTTTCTAGAATTCTATATCCAACCTGAAGTTCTGAAGACTGCTTGCTCGGTGACCGACGTGGATCACAAGAATCCCAGAAATTTTCGACCATCAGAGGAAATTTACTATGGTGCGAAAGCAGCTGTGGTGATTTCAAATAACCCGAAATTCAATCCTCAATTACTCATCGATGTCCGTAAGACATGTTTGAGTTTTTACATTAAAGCCTTGACCTAAATTTCGATTCGAGTACCACTGGAAAATACAATCTTCAAGTAATTGAGTTTTCTTAAGCTCCAGAATATCAAGAAGTTGGAAACCATTGCACCACTAATATCTAAGTTCCCGACCATTATTAGTGTTGATGAGCTGCCATCTGTGGACTCTGAATGGTGAAGCTTACGTAACTCTCCCTCCCTGGATTTCAGAAACCTCAAGATTTCTGCTTTTTGGGCAGATGTGGCGGTCACCAAGAAAGGCGATGACACTCAAATGTACCCTTTGTTGACAAAATTCTCATTCAGAATGCTCAGTCTGCCTCATTCCAGCACAGCAGCAGCAAGAATTTTCTCAAAAGTCACCAAAATGAAAACTACAGATGGGAACAAACTTGCCACAGCGATAATCAATGCGTCTTTACACACGAAACGTCTCATTGGTGAGAAATCCTGCTATGATTTCTCAATTACAAAATCCCTCTGAGCGAGGATAACACAAGATATTTATGCAAAGAGATAAATGTAATGGTATCATATATGTAATGGTATGACCATTACGTATATGATGGCAACGCGTATCTTCAAGAGCTCCGTGAAGTGGGCACCCCACTTGGTTGGATTTGAACCAAAATTTCATAATTGATAGATTTTGAGCTACTCGTGATAGTAGTAACGTTTTTCTTGTTTGTAGTTTGAAATTGAGCGTCCAATTCGTTTTTGAAATACAGTTAGGAACTATTCCATAGTTAGAGTTGGAGTGACATTGGATTCTCGTCTGCAATCGTTTGTAGTTGATTGTAGTTCTGGAAATTTTACGAGCGGAATCGTAATAAACGTTCAATCGATTTTTTTTAACAGCTAGGAACTATCTCATAGTTGTATTTGAAATGACGTGGGATTCTTATCTGCAATCGTTTGTAGTTAATTGCAGTTTTGGGATTTTCGGAATCGGAAATCAAATGAGCGTCCAATCGATTTTTGGAGACCAAGTAGGAACTGATTGAAAGCTATAGCCAGAATGAGCTCGGATTCCTGTCTAAAAT